GATGCTGCTGATGATGATGATGCTGATGACGATGATGATGATGATGATGATGATGATGATAATGCTGATGATGCTGATGATGATGATGATGATTGGTTGACGATGATGATGGATGATGATGGCATGCTGCTGTTGCTGATGTGATGAGATGATGTGATGATGATGATGAGTGATGCTGATACTGGACTGTGCTGATGATGATGGATGATGATGATGATGATGATGCAGGAGGAGAGGAGAGGCGGAGGAGGAGGATGAGGAGGAGGAGAGGGGAGGAAGGAGGAGGAGGATGCTTGCTGCTGCTGCTGCTGCTGATGATGATGATGATGATGATGATGATGATGGGAGGATGAGGAGGATGAGGAGGAGAGGAGGAGGAGAGGAGCGAAGGCCGAAGGAGCTGGAGGAGCGAAGGGAGCGAGGAGCGAAGAACGACGAACGAGGACGATTGACGACGTAATGAGGAGGAGGGAGGAGGAGGAGGAGAGGAGGAGGAGGAGGAGGATGAGGAGAGAGGGAGGAGGAGGAGGAGGAGGAGGAGGAGCATGTGGAGGAGGAGGAGGAGGAGGAGCAGCATGTGGAGTAGGAGGAGGAGGAGGAGGAGGAGGTTCGAAGAACGAGGAGCGAGGAGCGAGGATGAGGAACACAAGGAAGAAGAACGGTATCAGGAGGCACGCAGAGCGGGAGGGGGAGGAAGGAAGACCGAGAAGCAAGGAGCGTGGAGCGAGGATGAGGAAGACAAGGACAAATAACGAGATAAAGAGGCACATGGAGCATGATGAGCAGGAGTCTTTGAAGGGATGCTTAGCATCCCGGATTTCGGATGCGGGAAGTGCACGAACGAGCGGCGCTTTACTGCTCAAAAGGGCACGGCCGTTTCAAAGCACGAGGCATGGGCATGCCGCTCTGCCCAGCTTTGCCGACAGGGGGCCAGTGTGTTGGTGGGACCCATGTCGGGCTCCGTCGGTGATGGCGTGGCCGCTGACATGGCCCTGCGCCTCGAAAGAGGCCCCCGAAGCGGCCGCTGTGTGCCGCTCCGGCTCGCTGTCGATGGCCCCGCCCTGTGGGTCTGCGCCAAGCGCCTGCCCAGCGCCTGCAGGTGTTCCTGCCGCCGGGCCCCTCGCGCCGCCAGCCCCTGGCGCGATCCACGAGGCTGCCAGTGCTGGGAGCTGGGGGCGCCGCCTCGACGGAGGGACCTCCTTTCCGCATGCAGGTGCTCTCCCTCCTGGGAGCAGATCCCTGCCGTGCTGCGTTTGGACCTCCTGCTCGGCCTGCGCAGCGGCCCGCGTGCCTCCTCCTCCTCCTTCTCCTCTTCCTCCTCCTCCGCCTCCTCCTCCTCCTCCTCCTCCTCTTCCTCCTCCCATCTCTCGCACGGCTGTGACAGCCATCCCTGGCCCCACCACCTGGGAGCGCAGCCGGTGGCCGCGCACCGCCGGCGGTGCCGCTCTTGCCGCTCTCCACGGCCGGCCCCTCTCGCAAGCGCGGGCCTGTGCAGGTGCCTCATGCTCTATGGTACCCAGCTCGTTGCCACTGCCGGCTCTTTTCACACGCGCGCCGATGTTGGTTCACACCTGCTGGAACAGCTGGATGGGAATCGTGGTCGTTCGTGCGGTCAAGTATCGCCTGGTGAATACTCCTCGGCCCACGAGCTCCGTCTCGGCGAGAGTGGCGATGGCCTGCTGGACCTCCGCATCGGTGGAGAAAGCGCACTGATCCGTACCCCATCGACCTGCCTTCGTTAGGCGGTGCCGTCCTCGGTGATCAGCCTGCTGTATTCCACCGTGCCTGCCTGCTTCATGTGGTCCTTAGGTTCCCGACGTAGACCAGGTGCTCGCCATACATTCTGCTGTCTCGGCCAGAGCCCTTGCCGCCTGCGCACCAGTGTGCGGCGCCACTATCCGCTGCCACTGCTGGCCGCTGTCGCCCCTGCTGGTCCACGCATGTGGTTGATGATGTGTGGCACCCAGCTCTCTCACTGTTGCCGACTGCCGCTGCTGATTCTTCTCGCACGCGCTGGCCCACAGAGGTAGCTGGTGACGTCTGGTCTTCAGGCTCTTTTCTGTTTGCAGCCACTGCGGCTCTTGCTGGAGCTTGTCTTCCAGCAGGAGCCTGACGAGGTCGTGGTTGCCTGCCTTGGTCGCTTTGTCGGTAGCCACCCGCAGCAGTTCAGAGTCTCCGCCGCCTTCGACGTGGTGGCTGTTGCGATCGCTTTCCTCATGGTAACTTTCGGACCCGTCGCTGTCCTCATAGTAGCTGTCAGTCTTGTCGCTGTCGGCTCTGTCTGCTGTCACTGCTCATCGTGATGTCAGCCAATCCCAGTCGTTCGAATCCATACGCATATCGAGCGAGAGACAAACCTACCAGGGCCTGCTGCACCACTGCCAGCTGCCTGCTGCCGCTGCCTGCTGCCACTGCCGCTGCCACTGCCGGCCCTGCACGCGCCACGGTCTGCTGCACCCCTGCCAACTGCTACATCCGATTGCCCACAGTGTTGCTTCTC